CAAGTTCAATTCCCACCCACCCTCCACAGGCTATTCATCTTATGAGAGTAGTAGTTCTTAGACATTTTGGATGTGATAGTATATTAGTATAACTGCTAGGAACTGTTGTACTTGAACCCATTGTAATGAGAACGATGCCAATTGCTACAGAAGCAAGCTTTCTCAATTCACAGGTTTTCATAAGTACCACACAAGAACGTTAGAGTAGGACTAAACCAGGTGGGAGGGAAGAGGAGGACGAGAGGGAAGGTCCCAAGAGAGTCCCCAAGCAATGAAACCCCATGCCACACAATTTCCTGTCAGAATATTATGCTCTAGCCTGCAGTGGGGTACTCTATAGCGAGTACAACCCAATTAGGGTTTCCTATATGTATGCCAACTGCTGCTAGTGCAAACCCTCCTTTCTTCATTCTTACTTTCTACAGCTAGTTCTGACATGCTATCAGAGCAGGTCGACCCTCCTGGGTCGATCCTGTGGGTGGGCCCACCACCTAAGCCTTCCGCTGCTACTGCTACTGCTACTGCTACTCTGTGTGTCGCACGCCTCGTGGCGTGCGACGGATTTTTCATCCCGCCGTGCGCCCCGAGGTGTGCGGCGGTTTTCTGCCCGCCGTGCGCCCCGAGGCGCGCGGCGGTTCTCTGCCCGCCGTGCGCCCCGAGGCGCGCGGCGGTTTTCTCCCCCCGTCGCCCGCCGAAGCGCCCCCGGGGACCCGCGCGTCGCCCCCGTCGCCCGTGCGCGGCCCGTACTGCACGAGCGCGGCCCGTACAGGCTGCGCCAGGCCCGCGCGCGGCCTGTCCTGCACGCGCGCGGCCCGTACGGGCTGCGCCAGGCCCGCGCGCGGCCCGTACAGCCCGCGCGCTGCTCGTACTGGCTGCGCCAGGCCCGCGCGCGGCCCGTACGGCCTGCGCCAGACCCGCCGCGCGCGGCCCGTACGGGCTGCGCCTGGCCCGCGCGCGCCTCGGGCCGCCTGCGCGCGGTTCGTACGGGCTGCGCCTGGCCCGCGGGCGCCCGGTCTCCTCTCCCACTGAGCTGCACGCCGTCCCTCGCGCTTCTGACGGCGCCCCACCCCTGCTGCTGCCCGTACTCCTGAATTAGGGTTTGGGGGTGGAGCGTATGGGGGTGCCGTCTCTGTCAGCCGTCCCCTGCTCCTCCTCCTCCTCCGTCTCCCACTGCTGCAGCTGCTGCTCAGGGGGGTGGGTGTGTGGGAGCCGAGGGTTTAGGGTTTAAGGGGGGTGCCATGGGAGTGGAGCTAGGGTTTCAGCAGGGGGTGTGTGTTGGGGGGTGTGGGACAGTTGGAGGAGGTTGGGTGGAGGCAGCCGTCGTGTCGTCTGCAGCGCCTGTATTCCGGGGTTCTGATAGCCACCGGTAGCTCAGAGAGCCGGTTGCACCTGTCGCCCGTGGGTCCGTTGCTCCTGTCGCTGCTGATCAGACGCAGAGCCTGTTACTCCTGTATTCCGGGGCCCTTGCTCCCGGTAGCCACTAGAGTTGCACCAGAGCCGTCTGTTGCCCGTGTGTCTGCAGCTTCAGTCGTCGCCTCCACTCTTCTCTCCTCTCGCCAGCCCTCCTCCTCCTCACTTGCCCTTTGTGACTGCCTCTAGCTTTGCTCATAATTGTGCACTTTAAACTATTGCTTCTTAAACTTGTGCTCAGAATGTGTGGTGACATTGTGATCCACCCTGAGCTTGTACTGCTTTGCTTTCTCTGCTGATTACACCCCACTTTGGCTATGGGGGTGTGTCAGAATATTATGCTCTAGCCTGCAGTGGGGTACTCTATAGCGAGTACAACCCAATTAGGGTTTCCTATATGTATGCCAACTGCTGCTAGTGCAAACCCTCCTTTCTTCATTCTTACTTTCTACAGCTAGTTCTGACATTTCCCTCTCAATAGGCAACCCAACTCTCTCTTGTCATTTTCCCAACCTCCACAATCCACCTCACCCCACTTGGCCACACTTGCCAACCTGGTTTGGCTTCACCCAACCACATGGCAGCATCTACAGTGATGGGTTCGAATTTCCCAACCCCAAAAGTCTATACCCCTTAATGAGTCATTCCCACAACTTCCCATAGTCGCCACAACCGAACATGAAAAGCATACGAACTCCAACGTTCGTAACTTTCTTGATCGTGCTCCGATTGCGACGATTCTTGGTTCGTCAGAAAGCTCTTGAGCAGAGCAATCACTTCAGATATCTGCTCAAGCCAAATATCATTCACACACACTCAGAAAATCGAAACAACACAAAACACAAATTTCTTGCACACGCTCACACCCCGCTCATGTAAAGCACAACATATGATGGGAGGCAGACAGACGTGAATGCGAATGATAGCATCACACAACAAACTCCCCCTCTGGCTGTCTACCATCATTCCACATGTCACAACTCAAGCATGCACCCTCAATGCACACTCATCCCAGCAAGTTTCATTGCCCTCCCACCCAACCGCTCCTCCCTAAGTTGCCCTCGAGGCTTTCCCTCACGCCCTTTCCAACTCTCGCGATATCAATCAAGAACGTCAACTACCTCAGGTACCTTGTTAGTGCTTAAGCCGCGCGCGCCTAGAGCACTTTCCCTGTCTCGTGCATTAGGCAATATAGCATAGAATAGATCACTCGCCCTAGGGCGCTCTCGCCTTAGGCGTTGGAACCTAGTCCTATGGCGCCTAGGGCGTTAGCGCTAAAGGCGTTGGACTTAGGACGCTAGCTTCTTAGGCGTCATTGGTGCGTAAGGCGCTGGTGTCGTTCGTGGTGGCACCGCTGGGCGCACGCGCCGTTGGCGATGACGTCTTTGGGCGCTGGCGCTTGCGCCTTTGGGCTCTGGCGTTGACGCCTTTGCGCGCTGGTGCTTGCGCGTTTGGGCGCTGGCGCTGACGCCTTTGCGCGCTGGTGCTTGCGCGTTTGGGCGCTGGCGCTGGCGCCTTTGCGCGCTGGCGCTGGCGCATTTTGGCGCCGTGGGCGCTGGCGCTGGCGCATTTTGGCGCCGTGGGCGCTAACGCCTTTGCGCGCTGGCGCATTTTGGCGCCGTGGGCGCTGGCGCCTTTGCGCGCTGTCGTTGGCGCCGTGGGCGCTGGCACCGTCTGCACTGACAGCGTGGGCGATGACGCTGTGGGCGCTTAGAACCTAGTGCGATGTCCCTAGAGCGGTCGTGCCTAAGGCGCCGCCGGATTTGGATTTAGAGAGGAGAGGGCAGGGGTTGGTTGAGTTTTAGATAAATCCGGAGGCTGAGGGATGTAACCTTTCTCTGTAATATTTGAATGCTTGCGCATTGTGACCTATTGTGTTCGCTTCCAGGATGCTTGGCTGAGACACGCTTTGGTAGTGACCTAGTTCCACCTGGTTGTTGGTGTTTAGTGCACTTACCTTGAAATTCGAAACCTATGGCTTTCCTGCAGCCTAGTGTTAGGGCGAGGGAGCAGGATGTGTGAGTGTTTGAGTAAGAGTGGCTGCAAGAGGTAGGTAGGGCGATGGCGGACGAGGGGTGAGTGCGAGTTTAGCATCAGCCAGGGACAGCATGTGCGACGGCAAATGTGAGGGGGGGAGGGGGGGGGTGTGGGGGGGGAGGGGCGAATGCGAGTGAGGTTGTTAAGACACTTTTGCTGCCAGTGCACGTGAGAGGTCGAGTGTGCGTGGGAGCGAATGTCCATTGGGGAGCAGAGAGTGTGTGAGGAGGCGTGAGCATTCGAGGGTTTGAGTGCACATGAAGGAGAGTGTGTGTGGAGGGGGGACAAAGAGAGTGAGTGAGGGAGAGCGAGTGAGCGAAAGAGAAGTAAGGGAAGGAGAGAGCGTGTGTAGAGGAGGCAGTGTGAATACTTAATTTGAGTAGTTCTTTTTAGTTATGTGGTCATCATTGCTTGCTGAATGCTTTACTCGTATCTTTTTGCAAGGAACGCGCTAGCTATATAATCTGTTTTTGTTTTCTTGTGAAGGGCGTTAGAGCAAGAAGATAGTTGTGGGAGGGGGGTTGGGGGAGGGGTTGGGAGAAACGGGGTTCTTACTTTTAAGGAGGGGGAGAGCGGGGTGAGGGAGGGGAAGAGGGGACAGACTAGAAATGCACATACACAGCTCAACTTGCATACGACTCCTTGATGCTTGCATGCTCATTATGTGTGTCTCTGTGTGTACGTGTGTGTTTTGTGTATGTGCGTCAGAATGTGTGCGTGTGTGTGGTTGTTGCGAATGTCTGTGCGTGCGTACACGTGTACATATATGTTGTATTTACGTCATTGTTCTAAGAGTTTGTGGGTTGTGTTTGTTTCGGGCTTGTGCTAACTTGCCTGATGTATGTAGCGGAGGTTGCCATCGTTGTTGGGGCAGCGTGTTTTCGTTTTTTCAACGACCCCATCAACCTTTGCTGCAGCATTGATGTAGTTTAGCATTAGCTTTGAAGCATTCACTTCCGTTATGTGTATCGTCGTTCTCCTCGTTTGTGTTTCACTAAATGTGCATGTGTTGTGTTCGAGGCGCGGTGTTAATATGGATCATGTATGCAATTTGGGGTTGTCATCGCCGTTGGGGCAGCGTGTCTTCGCTGTTTCAACGGCCCTATCAATCTCAGTTGCTGCATTAATTTATATTTGCATCCACGTTGATATGTTTAAAACCATTTGTAATTCTTGTCGTCTGTGTGCTGTTTTTTGTGCACACCTGTTTCTGTTGTTCGTTTTTATGATCACATTCGTCGTACATGTTGATGCCAAAATTTGCTATCCGATCATACCATCCGCCGTATTAATCGACGATGCTGGGATGGTCGGATACATTCATATTTGCTTTCGCATTTTGGGCTATCGTTCAAAAGTGATTGTTTATTCACGTTTTGAGACACCTGCATGAAATTAATGCTTCAAAAAGTGCATAACAATCAATCTTGAAATGACATCCCCAAAATGTGAAACCAAATATAAAGGGTTGCTACGCAACCCAAAAATTGTATTCTTTTGCCCCTCTTCATATAGTATTAGGGCCTAAGTGTAACATAGCGAGTAACTCTTTG